ATATATATATATACACGTATGTATGTATATATGTATATATACGTGTATGTGTATATGCGTGCAGAGCCCGTATCTCAAAGCATCACAGCGGTGAACGACATCAAACGACACCCGGTGGTCCCCTGATAGGCGTGCGCGATCGCAAGCTCGTTAAGCTCGCTTGGCCGAGTGTGGCTCGCGGAGAATACTAGACGTTACTACACGGAGGAGGCGGCCGTAGGGCGCACTCGCCACTCGAGTTCGTTTCCACCGGGAACGGGAACCGCGTACCGTCGGTCGACCGTACACGGGTATCCTCCGTGGGTTGGCGAGGATTTATCTCGCCGGGACACGACCGTCGTGTGACGGCTCGCGGGAGTTGCGCGCGACCATTCCCGTCGGGACGCACGGTGCGTTAGGCGCGTATCCAAAACACATAATCATAAACCCGCCTTGTCGCGGCGCTCCGCCGACCGCCGTACGGGTTTTGCTTTGCTCAGCTTTGCTAGCTGGCCGCTGCGCTGGTGAAACACCAGCGAAACACGCGCGCGCGAACGTGGGGTCTCTGAAGTCTGAAACGACGCTCTCAACGCCTCGAAAGCGGAAGTCGCCTGCGCGCGCTCGGCGAAGGGCGCTCGGCTCGGACAGGTATCGACAACGCGTACGAATTGTGCGTTACGTTACGTTGCGTTGCGTTGCGTTGCGTCGCGCTGCGTCGCGGGCTTCCGCTTACCTCCGATCACGATACGACGTAAACCAGCGGGCACACGGGCGCGGACTAGCCGGACTAGCGCGGACGCGGACTATGCAGTCGCAAGTCGCAACAACTGCTAAGAGTGCCAAATGTGTAAAGCAGGTTTTACATTAGTTGCAAGCCGATCGCAAGTTTGTTGCGACAACCAATCTGAAGCTTGCGTTTTGAAATCAACGCTTCATATTGGTTGTCACAACAAACTTGCAATCGGCTTGCAACTAATGTAGAATCGACTTAAAGTGCAACCGCGGGCAGCGGGCGTACAGTCGTGCAGTACATTAATTCGCTGATCGAAAATAAGAAAATGCAGTACTAAAAAGTTGATAAAAAATTCTGAAAAAATTCTTAGAGTTCTATGAGAAGAAAATAAATGATTTTTGTCTCTTGCAGTTTTTCTGTAAAGGTAATAGTATTTGAGTAAAAAATAAATGTCGATAAGTCGAGCCGCTATTATGACCTAGCGAATTAATGCACTACAGTGTACACTTTCGAATGCGCGGTACATAGAAGGGATCGATTCTGTAAACAAGATGAAAATTATGAAAATGAACAAATTTAGGAGTTCCGCATAATAAAAGAAATAGGGAATAGAGAATAAGAATTTCAACCTATCAGAAACTGTGTATTCTACAATACAAAGTCCCTAACAGCACAAAGTCGACTCTAATGCCCGTATTCATAATCAGACCTTATTCTTAAGGCTTCCTTAAATTTATCTTTAGATATTCAGCCAAAATAATTCATATAATACCTAAAGATGCTCAGTAGCCAGTGAAATAATTCATAGAGTATCTAAAGATAAATTTAAGGAAGTCTTAAATATAAGGTCTGACTATGAATTCGGGCATAAATCAACCATTCTAGGTTGTGATTCGATTCATGCCCCAACGCTCATGAATAGCATTCATCCTTGTTTAACTATAGTTAAACAACAAGAACGAAATGATTCCACATTTAAGCTTTGTGAGCGTAAATCGTACTAGATTCTTAAAGTCGATATTGGAAGGACGTCTGTACTTACAGTCGACTCTAAAGGCCTGACTTAGCAAAGTCAACTTACAGTCGACATATCGACGTTTGTACTGTTAGGGATGATTTCTGATAGATTAACATTTTTATTCTCTGTTCTCTATTCCCTGTTCCTTTTATTGTGCGGAGTCCCTTACTAAGTGTTGACCAATGAAATTAGTCAGTAGTCTAGTAAATTCGCTTTTGTAATTTTCACCTCGTTTCAAGATATAGAATCGATTCTCTCGACGTCGTATCGAGAGACTTCCAAATTCTTCGTGTAGAATATGGATCTGTTCGTTTTACACTACTTTACGTTTTATCTTCCTTCTTTTTCTCTCGTTCTCTCCAATGTTGGGACAAAAAAAGGAAAAGTAAATAGTGCAAGAAGTTCAGCTAAAAGGAACAAATTCCATTGTAGATCAGATTATATAATACCAATTGGCTGGCGGGACAACCGTGAATTCGTGGCTGTGATTGGTCGATTTATTCATCGCTCAAACACTTGGCTTTTTCATTTCTTCCCGTAAGTTTTGCGCGACAATCTGTATAATTTATTAGGCCCGGTTTTACAAATGTAAAATTAACTTTAATCTCAGTTTAACTTACTATTTATCTTTATTTAATTCTAAGGATTCTAATTTTAAAAATTCTTAGAGTTTGACAAAGCTAAACAGCATTAAGTTAAATCGAAATTGAAATTAATTTTACTTCTGTGGAACCGAACTTTAATCTTATTATACATATTTAAGACTATTTTAAATCTGATATTAAAATTGAATTATAACTCCTCTTACGAATACTAAATAGTAGACAATTTTGAAACGAGATTTGAAACGATCTGATTAGTCATGAAGTGAGTTGCGACACTTGCGACATCTTTATATTTCGCAATTCTGCAATCGTGATTGTTTGTGTTGTCTGATTGCTACGTTTCATCTGATTTCATCATTCAATCTTCTGATTCTGGAATCGGGTTCTCGTTTTCAGCCACAATTGAATCATGGCATCGATCGTCGTACCGGCGGTATTTCGGTTTAGTCGTGTAATGGTCGATAATTTCTATCAAATAAATAAAAGTGGCTTACGCAGGTAAATTGTCACTTTTTTTCTCTGACGCGAGTCGCAATCAAATGCTCGTTGCTGAGTCACATATCGAGTCGGCACATTGAGGTTAACCGTACATTACTTATTTTGTTTTGTTTCCTGTTCGAACATAATTATCATTAATTAATGTTAAGGCTAATTAATTTTTGCTATTTAATTTTCTTATGACGCGAAATGTTTACTATTTAGTATAAATAACTTGTCTATTCTATATGTAAAAGTGTAAATTCAGAATCTCTTGAAATTTTTAGTCTAACAAATCATTAAACTTTTATATATATATATATA